AAGTATCGGACCGGTAAAATATCTCGAAAAATATAAGTTTTACAGAAAATTGCTTTAGATAAAAGCTATAAGTCTTAGGAAAATCTATTTACTGATTTTAACAGTTTGACCTTGGGTGACATTTCGAGGTCAGGTCGAGGTCAACATTGCTTTTTTAAATAGAAACATATATTTTTTATTACGGAATTTTATTCTACGTGAAGAAACACATAATTTTTGTTTGAAAACATTTTTTATACGACCTCTATTTTGTAAGATATTTGCGGAAATATCTACAAAATTATTGGTTTCAATAATTTTTTATTCAAATTCTATCAACTTTACCAAAAAATAGCAAGAGATAAAAATTTTCTATTTTCATTTCATAGAGCTCCGAAAATTTTTTCAGAATTTTTTAATTACCTTTTAGTACTGCATTTTCTTGCATTTTCTTGAAATACTAAAAAGTTAATTAAAAAATTCTGAAAAAATTCTCAGAGCTCTATGAGAAAAAATAAGCAATTTTTATCTTTTGCTATTTTTCGGTAAAATTTATATATATATATGGGGCGTTCCTTGTCAAATCGGCCACCCCCTGCCCATTTCAATTTTTTAGATAAAATTCTTTAAAAGGGCTTAAAATTTTCATTGAAATGTCTAGTTTACGATGACGTATGGCCTTTTTGAAAATTCAAAATGGCGAACCCAAAATGGCGACTAGAATGGAAACAGACACCGAAAAAACAAATAATATCGTGAATAAACATGCAGGATGTGATGTAGCGAAGATCTGATCCCTGTGTGAGTGTGTGGGTGTGCGTGTGTGTGTGTTGATTTTATATTTTCGAGTACTAATAACTATCGTTAGAACTCATAAGGGGCTATCCAGAACTGCCAACAAAACTGACGAAACTGCAAAAAATTTTTCATCCCTCGGGTGTTAAACATTTTTCGATCTGTCATATGAAAATTGTTCTCACTAGGGATGCCGTTTTAATATCGTATTAAATTTAATATTCGGATAATATGCGTGTAACATTATGGGCATGCGTGCGCGCACCATGATATCACTGTG